TCCACAGACGGACTATTTCCATATTTAGACTATATCGTCTACTTCCTATACTTTATATGAGATATGTGAAATAGTCTAAATAGAATCGGATGTTAATTTCTCGTTTTATGGGCTTCATGTATATTTAAAATTGTGATCCTTTGTGGGGGAGGTACCACAAGGAGTAGACGGACATATTCCATATTTACACTAGACATCGGGTTAATAAAAATATTGTGATGTGAGTAATTTGAAGACAATCGGACTCTTAGATCAAATTTTATAAAAGTTAAAATTATTCAAAATGTTGAACCTTTGTTGGGGAGATCGTCCTTTAAGATTCCCTTAAGATCGTCCCTCAAGATTCCCTTAAAGTCTACTGTAGAGACTTCCTTGTCGTATATTAGTACTAACTTCAGATCGTCTTTGACGTCAAAACGAAAGACTTAAGACACAAACCCCAAATAACAACAAGAATCGCTGCCCCTCAAAACACACAAACAACACACCTTAAAGCAAAACGCAATTATTAGCCAAAATCCAAATCATGAAATATTTTCAAAAAATAATGATAATGATAACAATAACAATAAAAAGCAACAACTCGTGCCTGTTATTATTAATCCGTCCATAATTATGCAAATTAAAATAGCCGCCGTTACTGTCACAACCCCTATACCTGTTAACAACGCAAATAATTCTTGAGAAAAATCTATAGCATCTTCCGAAAACGACTGAATATTTCTATGGAATTCTTTTGCTTCCTTTCCTACGTCGCCGACGTATAACCGCAAAAATGGTCTCTTATGTGTGCAAAATTTTGTAGATATTCGAGAGTGTTAAACAAAATAAAATTAAACTGGTTTTATATTTGAAAATTTGCTTTGGCTAAATCGATGTGTCACACAAGTGATATTTTTCTTGTCGAATTCGAATGATAGATACAAATATTTGCTCTGTCTACTAGTCTTGCAATTTTCTTCGATATCATAAAGGGAAAATCGGTTATGGTAATAAAAACTTTTACATTCTTGCAGTTCTGGAACAGAGAAATTATAAGCTGCGTGTAGTTAGAAGACCTTCTATGGGTTTTGTCAATGGAAAGATTAAATAAAAGTAGTAGCCAAAAAGACTTCTAAAGCTCTAAAGAGAATATTTGGCTGGCTTAAGTCATCGGCTGGCTTCTTCGTAGATTAACAAAAGAGTTTTAGGTTGAGTTAGTTCGATTTTGGCCCTAGGCTCCTTTGTTCATTTCCGAAGAAGCCAGCCGATGACTTATGCCAGCCAAATAAGCGCTTTATGTATTTCCAGCTTAAAACAGAATAGGCCTTATTACATCGGTCGGATCTTACTTACATCAGAATAGTCCTGAACATCCCTCAAAATACATTTTTGAAACGGATTGCTTCAAAAATATTTGAAGCCCCTTAACAGACAAGAAGACCTCCCACAGCATCTCAATTCCAAGAAATGCGTTACTTTTTTTTATTTATTATACCCTCCAGCATTTAACTTTGTCATTCCGTCTGTAACTCCTCGAAATATTCATTATAGACCTTAAAAAGTATATATATATTCTGGATCAGCGTGAAATTCTAAGACGATCTAGCGATGTCCGCCTGTCTGTCTGTCTGTCCGTCTGTCTGGTGAATCACGCTATCTTTCGAACGAATTGAGACAAAAGGCTAAAATTTTGCATACATGCATAGTTTACCAGTAGGCAGGTTATGTTCGTAATTGGGTCATGTCGGTCCACGTTTTCGTTTAGCCCCCATATAATGGTACCTCCCGATATTCGGTATTTTCATGATTTCAGCAACATTATTCACCGGAATCGTTTGAAATTTTGTATTGGAAGATCCTAATCGGTACCTATGGCAAAAAAATTCGAATGCAGTTTCACGTCTTCGTATAGCCCCATATAACGGTACCTCCCGATAGTCGGTATTTTCATAATTTATGCGACATTATTTACAGGAATTATTTCAAATTTCGTATTTGAAGTTCGTAATGGATACTACATCCTATGACAAAAATTTTTGTATGCAGGCCCAAGTCTTCGTATAGCCCCCATAATACGTTACCTCCCGATACTCGGTATTTTGAAGATTTCAGCAACATTATTCACCGAAAACGTTTCAAATTTCGTATTAGAAGTTCACGTCTTTGAATAGTCCCCACATACGGTTTTCATTTAAGTGGTAGTTTTCGGGATTTTTTTTTTTTTGAAAAATTTCAAGTTCCTTCTACATGGTGAAGGGTATTAAAGTTCTACTTGTTTATATCAACATTTTGGGTTTCAAAGTTACCGATTTCTGTCGGCAACTCCCAAAATGAGTTAGAGAATCCCACCACAGAATAATCCTGAACATCCTTCAAAATAAATTTTCAAAAAGAACTGCTTCAAAAATATTTAAAGTCCCTTAACAGGCAAGAAGATCCCCCACAGCATCTCAATTCCAAAGAATGCCTTGCTTTTCTTATTTATTTTATTTTTTACAAAATTCACCCCGTCGAGGCTTCAGTTCATTAATTATCTTTTAGCGTTTGCACACTTCATTTGCAAAATTTACAGCGAAAGCGCTATGTCACCGCAGACACTTGACCCCCACCCATCCAGAATGTTTGCATTATCAGTTAACAACTATAAAATTAATGTGCTAAAATAAACAAAAACAAAAAGAAAATGAATCATTTTTGAGATTTTTATTTATTTTTTCATCATATTTTTTTTAATAATGCCAAGGTTTAGTTATACTGTGGAATTTCGAAAAAAGGTGTGTGTTTAACAGGCACCCATCTCCTTGCGCATCATGTTTAATCGTAACGATGATCAATGAGAAAATATTTACAACAACAAATGATGATGACATTCAGAAGATTTTTTTTTGTTTTTGAAATGACATTGTACAAAATAAAAATGACACAAAGACATACTGTTTAGGGAGGTGTTTAAAAATTAATAATATTTTCGCAAATATATTCTGTAATTATTTTTTTTAATTTACCTACAACAGAAAGTATAATAAAACAAGTAAAAAGCAGTTAGTTCGACCATTTGGAACGAATTTAGACAATTTAAAAAAAATAAAATTCGTTAAAAATGTTGCTTAAAATTTTAAAAACCCAAATATAGCCATTATATCAGGTGCTATACGAAGATCTTCGTAGGCAACTTTTGTCATAAGCTATTACAATATTTAAATACGAAACTTGAAAAAATCCGGTAAATAATGTAGCTAAAATCATCAAAAACCGAATATAGGTTCCGTATAGGTACCGAGGTACCGTCCTATCGGGGCTATGTGAGGACCTGAACCTGCATAGACAATTTTCTGTCACAGGCTGTAGTACCTACAGGGTGAGATTACAAAAATACTTCTGTCATTTCTAAGCCACTCGTCCGACAGCTGTTAAAATTATTCCAGTGGCAGCTCATTATATTTTTTACAAAAGCATGTTGGTGAGAATTTTCCCAAAAAAAGTTATTCGTGATGGAATTCCAGCGTGATAGTGTGATTTCTTTATATTTGGCTGGAAAACCACAGGTGGCTATCGTTAGAGCACTCCAGCATTTAAATGTGAATAAAACTTTTGTGCCTCGTACCATCGCTCGTTACCGTGATACTGGTAGCGTAGCCCGACATCAAGGAAGTGGACGGAAGAAAGCAGCAACATCAGAACAAATGGTTCGAATAGCAAAGAAGTGACTTGATCGAAATTAGCATCGCAGTGGCCGAAAATGGCTCGTGAGCTGAATTCGGCAAATATAAAAAAATGAGCTCGGGATAAAGCCATTGAAATTCCAAATGTGCAAGAACTTACACCGCAACAGGAAGAAAATAGACTCAAAAGAGCTAAAGAGTTGCTTCGCTTGGCCGAAAATGGTTTGGTGGTCTCCGATGATCGTGTTTATTTGCCAAAAGGGTCAGCTGAAAATATGTACCTTCAGTTGGCCACCTGAATTCAAGCGCCAGCGATGGTGATGGTGTTGGCCGCCATAACAGCCGATGGTCGCTCTCCGCTCGTATTAGTCGGCCGTGGCATTAGAATAAATGCCGAATATTATTGCGGAAATATTCTGGAGGTTGTATTAAAACATTTTGGCCGCAGACCTTGGACATTCCAACAGGACTCAGCACCATCCTTCATTTCCAGCGCACAATGGCCACCAAAATCTCCGGATACCAATCCGTTGGACTATTGTGTCTGGAGTATTTTGGAAAGCAAGGTTGGCACTACAAAATACCAAAGTGGCGATCACTTCAAGCAAGCGCTTCGCCGGGAATGGGCCAAAACAACGCAGAACAACATTCGGGCAGAGTGTGACGGTTTTATTGGCCGTTTGATGGCCATAATTCGTGTCAAAGTTGACCAATTCGGATTTTAAAAATATTATTCTACAAATATATTTTATTTACTAAAATACGATACCTCTAACCATTGGCCCCACGGGTTTTCCTCAATTTGTTATTCGTAAACTCATGGCTGGTAATAAAATAAAATGCGAAAAAAATAAACATAAATAATGTGGCAGAACCATCAACACATTGACAGCTAATAAATTATGAATAATTTCTGTGTAAATGTAAACGAAAGCCTTTAAACAAATTATGTACATGCTATAAATTTATAATTGTTGCAATAAAAGTATTTTTTCTTTTCTTTTTTTGCTGATTCTGATTTTTATTGGCTCTTTGTAAGAAAACGAAATAAAGAACAGATCCTTATATTTTCGAAACTTCCCTTTCTTTGTGCGGCAATTTGTACATCACTCTCGATTTTATGCGAGTGTTTGTATCTGTTGCCAACTTATATAACATTTATTTGCCTCAACATTCCGCATACAAATTACCACAAAATAAATTCTGCCCAACAAACAAAAATCCAATCATAAAAAGTGAATCACAAAGAATATCCGTCCACATTTTGGTTTTGCCAAATTTCTTAATTTCAAATTTCCAGCACATTTTTTTTCTCAAAATAATTTTTTGTTTATTTATTTGTTTTTTTTATTTTAGATGTCTTATTTGTATTCCCATTTTGCCCAATTGGTGAGCGTGCACTGTAAAACAACAGCAGCAACGTCAAACACACCGGTCAATCAATGCAAACATGATTTGTTGAATTATGGCTATGAGAAATTGCAAACGTTTGCGGATAACCAACTGGAGGCAATGGATCCCTATCAACGGAATTCGGAAAATTTAAGTAAGTATATTTTTACAATTATTAATATAAGTTGTTATTATGATGGAAAACTTAAAAAGCTTAAGCAGGGCTGCAGCCCTTCATTAGTCATTTACATAGCGGCGAATGACGCCCTCGTTTAAAACTTTTTTCTACAATAAAATTGGCCGAGTAAAAAATAGTGTGAAGAAATTAAAATTTATTTCCGATCAAATATTTTACGATTGCCATCACGCATTTCCAGTCGAATTGGCATTAAATTATTTACAGAAAATTTTCAACGTAATGGTGTAAGCATGATACAATAAGGAGGTAGAACAGTTTCGTAAATACAGCCCTCAGGCCATGTCCGAATTATTTAATTATTCAGAATTATTCAAAATTACATCCAACAAGTTGTTTTTATTTATTTAGTATTTTTTTTTTGTTTATTTCTAAAATGAGTCAAATAGCGCGAAAGATGAATGAAAAGCTTGGATGTTATCTCAAAAATATGACACTTAGGTATTCAATCTTTCAATTCCAATGCAGATCTGGTTAATATTATTAATGCTCGCCCCGCAATTTAAGTTTCTTTCAATCATTGATTTTGAAAATGTTTTGTTTTTATTTTTCAAAACAACAAATACGTACACAAAATTGGCAGATGTCAGGCACACTTAAAAAAAAAAATTGTAATCAGCTGAAAGCTCTACCTGAACCTTTAAGGTGCAAGTACATAAAAAGCTTGAAGTCATGGCTTGGCATATTAATATCAAATTATAACGGGAAACGAAGGCAGGATTTTAGTGCGGCTCTGTAATCCCATTATGAAATGTGAAGATTTTGACATCACTTTTCAGCTGATTTTCTGGGGTTAAGATCTAAAAGCACAACTTTTACAAAAAAACGTAATTCATGGACTACACAAGAACTAACAGCATTGAGGAAATTTCCTTAAAATTAAGCATAAAAATCTCAATTTTTATATGTTTGGTCTTAAAAAATATAAATAAAACAAGAAAAAAAGCAGCTAAGTTCGGCCGGGCCAATTTTTTTTATACCCTCCACCATGCGAAAGGAACTTGATTTAAAAAAAATCCGTTCAAATGAAAACCTTTATATGGGGCTATACGAATACGTTGTGCTGGATAAGTAATTTTTTTGTCATTGGCTGTAATAGTACGATTCCGAACTTCAAATACAATATTCGAAACAATTCCGGTGAAAAATGTCATACGAAATTTGACGCAATTCCGGTGAATAATGTCTTGGATAGCGATATATGATTGCTATACTAAAACGTAGACCTATATAGACAATTCTCTTCGAGGGAGTAAAGTACTCAGAGAGAACTCCTAGTGTGGATTTTCAGACTATTACATTGAAAAATGTGACTAAAATCATCAAAATACCGAATGTCGGGAGGTGGGATATACGATATCGTGGACCTGGATAGACAATTCTCTTTCAGGGGGTAAAGTACTCCTTGTGTGGATTTTAAGACTATTCCATTGAAAAATCTGGCTAAAATCACCAAAATACCCAATATGGGGGGCACCATTGTATGGGAGCTATACGATATCGTGGACCTATATAGACAATTCTCTTTCAGGCGGTGAAATATTCGCAGAGAATAGAACTTTAGATAGTTTCATTAAAAATGTGGCTAAAATCAAAATACCGAATATCGGGATATCGGGAACGATATCGTGGACCTATATAGACAATTCTTTTTCAGGGGGTAAAGTAGTTAAGAAGAACTCCTTGTGTAGAATTTCAGACAATTCGATTGAAATATGTGACTAAAATAATCAAAATACCGAATATCGGTGGTACTGTTATATGAGGGCCACACGATATCGTGGACCGATATAACCCATCTTCGAACTTGACCTGCCTGCAAACAAAATACAGATCGGTGCAAAATTTTAGCTTTCTACATTTATTCGTTTTGACTCTAGCGTGATTACAACAGACGGTCAGACTAAATCGTCTTAGAATTTTACGCTGATCAAGATATATATTCTTGATCTTTGGTGGATCTAAAATTATTATTTCGGAATGACGAACTTAACCATACATAGTATGTAGGGTATAAAATATGGAAATATAGCGGTTTTTATGTGCCTAGGAACTAGCCGAAAATAAGGGATTAATTATTATTTTTGTAAAATATACCGTCTCGTCATACGAAAATATTTTAGGAAAGAAAATATTTTTTATATGAAAAATGACAAGGTTGATTTCGTTGAAACACGGTTGCCATATTCGATTAACAAATGAGTCTACCTCTCTCATTTTGCCATGGTTAAACCCAAATTCAGGTAGATGCATCAACGCTTGGGAACATTGTCATATGTCAAAATTGTTCAAATGATTTTTTTCGTAATCGGAGCTTGTTATGATATGCATTTTTTCAAAAATTTCTACAAATTTCGTTAATTTTTTATTCAAAATCTTCATTTCCGAAATTGGTTTGACATTTCATGGTCCTAGCAGCTGTGTCGATGGGACTACCTGTATTCTTCTACAATGGTTAATCCATTGACTTTAATAACCCCATGGTACACTAAAATCAAGGTATGGCACTGCTACCAATAGATTTTATTTTTTATTTTCTTGGGTTGCCACATCAACCATGGTAGAGGAATACATCAACGCTTGGGAAAATTGATACGTCAAAATTTTTAAAATGTTTTTTTTTGTTTTTAAATAACTAAATTTTTATAAGTTTACTTATACAACACCAATCTGAGTTTGTTATGACATTCAATTTTTTCCAAAATTTTTACAAATTTCCATAATTTGTCATTCAAAATCTTCATTTCCAAAATTGATTTGACAGTTCGGTTTACGAAGATTAGTCATTTGTATGATCGAAAAATACAGGTGTAAACATTAATGTATCAAAAATATTTAAAAAAGTCTGTAAAAGTAAACTGATTTTTAAATATTTTCTTATATGGTGCCGTTCAGAGGTTATCATAATAATACGTTTATACTTTCCAGATCCAATGGAACTACATTGTGTATACATCAAGTGCAATCGTTCTGTATGCACCAAATTCAGTGGATTTCATAAGATATTTTCACAACAATTTACTGACACACACCTGACACAATCTGAAATAATTGTTTTTCTTGTTCACGTTTTTCAGTTTGGACTTCAATTATGCGTGATCACCCCAGCTCCCAATTGATTACCACACGCAAACCGGCACTGGCCACACCTCCGGCAACAAGTATTATCATTCTTACCCATCAACAACCCAGTACTCCAAAATCCAATCCCATAGGTGCCACAACAACAACAACAGAAACACAATATCCACACAATCCCATGTTTGATAGCAGCGAACAAAAACACCAATATGCCATGGATATGGACATTGCCTATGGTTATCCCAGTATGGCCCATAATCCTCAGGTTGATGTCTTCGATGTGGGCAGTGTTCAGAAAACCTACCTAACTGGACCCTCTGTGGTGCGTGTCAAGCCCGATGGTACACCCGTCGAAGAGGACAAGAATAAACCAGTGGTCAAGGATGATGATTTGGAACACTATGTCAATACTGGACTCTTTGGAAGTGATAATACCAAGCCGGTGGCACACACACACACTCCCACAGCCACAACATCATCAAATGGAAAACATAGAAAAATTGCCACCATTAATGCCCTGAAACAACAATATTTGACGAATCTGGCAATACAGCAACAACAGCTATTGCCACCCTATGAACATTCCCGCAATCCACGTCAGGCATATTGAGGATAAGTTTTTCTTTTAATGCCACTAATTTGCAGGAACGTTTTTGGAAGACATTGAATAATTTCGAAAGTGTTTTACTTTTCAGTGCGGAAATGACGATCTTCCGATCATTTCATTAGCCTTAGCTTTATATATTTGTATTTATTTTTATATAAAAAAAAAACAAACAAACAAAAATAGTAATTTAAGTGCATTTTTTTCTCAGTGTGATTGTCAAAAACTAATAAGAGTGAATGTTGTACATTCCAGATTATCGATTTTTTTTATGTATGTGTAAATGTGTAGAGAACAATGAATGAATGAATGTGTCTCCGAAATCTCTTTCTTTCTTTCACATAAATATCCTTCTTTCAATATCTTCCTTCAATTTTAAGAACATTTTTTTTTATTTTATATGCATGCATACAACTCATGGAACGATTTACATACATTTTATATAAATAATATTTGTATTAATTATTTAATAGATATATTTTTGTAATGTGTCATTTATTTACTCGTCTATCCTCTGTTCTGTATCATTTATTTTATTTGTATTCTACGTTTTTTTTGGACATATATTATATATTTTTTAATTATTTATTGAGTGCTTTAGTTATAGGTTATATATAATTTTTGTAATATAAATTGACCAATAAAATAAAATTCAAAAAAAAATATATAGTTTAAATTTTTCTTATAGCATTAAAACATTTCTACATAGGGAGTTTTTGGAACTCTTTCAGGAACGATTGGACATTAGGTACCTTTTTATACCCTACACCACAAGGTGGTCAGGGTATTATGTATTTGTGCATTTGTTTGTAACAGGCAAAAGGAAAGGAGACTATGGCATAGAATCACATTCTGAGTCGATTTATGCATGTCCGTCCGTCCGCCTTACCGTCCGTCTGTCCATGTATTTTTGTAAACAAAGTACAGGTTGCATTTATTTTCCTCTCCAGATGAAATTTATCACAAATCATTTGTTTGACCCAAGGACGAACCCTGTTGAAATTGGAGGTAATCGGTCAAAATTTAGATATAGCTCCCATATATATCTTCGTCCGATTTGCCTTTTATTGTGCACCAAACGTGTAATATCAGTCCGAATAGTATGAAATTTTGCACATACAATCAGATTGGACCTGAAAATAAATATGCCAAATTTGATCGAAATCGGTTCAGATATAGCTATAGCTCCCATATATATTGTTCATCCGATTTGTTATTTTTGTCCTCCGCAGCCGTAATATGCACTCCGTAACAACAATGTTTGGGGAAATATATCAAATATAGCTCAGAAATACATTTGCCAAATTTTATCGAGATCGGTTAAGATTTGGATATAGCTCCCATATATAACTCTGTCCGATTTAACTTTTATTGTGCACCAAACGTCTAATATTTGCTCAAATGGTATGAAATTTGGCACTTACGACCGAATTGAGTCTAGAAGCTAGTATGTCAAATTTGGTGAAGATCGGTTCAGATATAGCTATAGCTCCCATATATACTGTTCATCCGATTTGTTATATTTGTTCCCCACAGCCGTAATATGCACTCTGTAACAACGATATTCAGGGAAATATATCAAACACAGCTCAGAAATATCTTTGCCAAATTTTGTCGAGATCAGTTCCGATTTGGATATTGCTCCCATATATATCTATATCTGATTTCAAATTAATTGTGCACCAAATGGGCAATACAAGTCCGAATTTAAAAGATACAAATGCTTCGGCATATTTAGTCCTTTGAACTTTAAATTATAATTATAATCATAGCGTGTATGATTGAATTCTGCCATAAAAACTTTTAATTGCAAAGTCGTGTAGCAAATTAGCAAAGTCGTGTAGGGTATCATAAAGTCGGCCCCGCCCGACTTTAAGACTTTCTTTACTGGTTTTCTTTGTATACCCTCCAGCTTGAACAGGATTAATTAACTTTATCATAGATGTTACACTAAATATTCGTCGTAGACCCCATAAATTATACAGGGTGAGATGAAAAAACTGCCACCAAATTCAGACTTCTGTCATTTCTAAGCCACTCCTCCGGCACCTGTTAAAATTATTCCAGTGACAGCTCATTATATTGTTTACAAGCGTACAAAAGCATTTTGGTGAGAATTTTCCAGAAAAAAAGTTATTCGTGATGGAATTCGGGCGTGATAGTGTGATTTCTTTATATTTGGCTGAAAAACCACAACTGGCTATCGTTAGAGCATTTCCATTTCGTCCAGCATTTAAATGTAAATACATCTTTTGTGTCTCGCACCATCGCTCGTAGCCGTGATACTGGTAGCGTATCCCAGCAGAAATGGTTCGAAAAGTTAGGAAGCGACTTGATCAAAACCCGCATCGCAGTGGCCGAAAAATGGCTCGTGAGCTGAAAATATCGCAATATTCCATTCGGCAAATATTGAAAAATGAGCTCGGAGTAAAGCCATTGAAATTCAAAAAAGTGCAAGAACTTACACCGCAACAGAAAGAAAATATGCTCAAAAAAGCTAAAGATTTGCTTCGCTTGGCCGAAAGTGGTGAACTTCCGAATTTGGTTTTCTCTGATGAGAAAACATTCGTTGCCCAGCAGTTTGTAAACAAGCAAAATGATCGTGTTTACTTTCCAAAGAGATCAGCTGAAAATGTGCACCTTCGCTTGGCCAACAGAACTCAAGCACCAGGCATGGTGTTGGTGTGGGCCGCCTAACAGCCCATGGTCGCTCTCCGCTCGTATTAATCGACCGTGGCATCAGAATAAATGCCGAATACTATTGCGAAAATATTCTGGAGGGTGTATTAAAGCCTTGGGCACGCAAACATTTTGGTCGCAGACCTTGGACATTACAACAGGACTCAGCACGCGCCACCTAAGCATGGTTACAAAATAAGGTTCCTTATTTCCAGCGCACAATGTCCACCAAAACCTCCGGACACCAATCCGTTGGACTATTGTGTCTGGAGTATTTTGGAAAGCAAGGTTGGCACTAAAAAATACCAAAGTGTCGATCACCTCAAACAAGCGCTTCGCCGGGAATGGGCCAAAATACCGCACAGCAACATTCGGGCAGCGTGTGACGGTTTCATTGGTAGTTTGAAGGCCATAATTCGTGTCAAAGGTGACCAATTCGAAAAAATCTAAACTTATTCTAAAATTTTATTCTATTTCCGACCTTTTTGGCTTTCATTCAATAAAATTTAAAAAAAAATTAAAAATTATGGCGTTTGAGTTTGTTGCAGTCTTTTTATCTCACCCTGTATATATTCATAACCAACATAACATTTTAAGTCGATTTAACAATGTCCGTCTATCTGTCAGTATTTCTGTTCGAATCACGATGCAGACCACATTATTTGATGTAGAGCTTCAAAATTTGGCACAAACAATTTGTATTGTGTGTTGGTGTGGAAAATGAGATATATCGGTCCACGTTTTGGTATAGCCGCCCATAACGGTACCTCCCGATACTTGGTATTTTGACGAGCTTATTGTTTTTTTTTTCATAATCTCCTATAAAAGTACAAATTGTATTAATAAATTTGTAATTCACTCTATTAAGTGTAACGCAAAGTAAGTAAAATGTATAGATTGTATCAGAATCGAATATGCTTGAGATAGAGGATAATGTAAACATATCATTATTTTTATAAAATATCTAGAAACTATTTTTGATTTTATATTTTCAAAGAACCTGACACTTACATAAGACAATTTGGTCTTCAATCCGACTTGTATTTTACTATCATATACATACTGGACAGATAGTCTTCCTTGCCGTCTAGAATTTTTCACAGCCAGTAAATACAGACAAAATTTTACACAGCAAAGAGCAATCAAGATTTTTATAAAAAATTTTGAATTGTCATTTATTCGTCAAATAAATAACGAATCATCTTAAAAGGCGTAATTTAAGTATTGGTATGCAGGTATTTTATGTGACATCTCGTGACAAATGTCATTTCTTTCCTGTGAATATTTTACTTTGAAATACATCGTAAATACCGCTTAGGTATTTATTCGACTGAAAATTTTAATTATAGAGCATACTTTTAGGCGGACAACGTTTTAGAAGATTATTAAAGCTGTTATTTTTAAATCCCAAGCAAAATGGAAGTAGCTCCATGATTTGATATGATGATTCAAAATATTGAGCCTTTGTGGGGGAAGAACCAGAAAGAGTAGACCGATGTATCCCTTCTTCACACCACTTGCATTGTTATTCAAAACGATTACCAGTGGGGAAGATAATAGAAGGAGTGGTCCGTTCTTCGAATCACGAAACGAAATAACGAAAAACGATTTTTATGTCCGACATCATTTTTTATTTATCGGAAAGATGTAATAACCGCCCTTATTGTTTTGTTTTTGAAAAAAAAATAAAAGTACCTAACTCTCTCAGACAGAAGTTGTAGGATAATTCCTTCAGGAAAATTAAAACAATTACGAAAACAAAAACTATTTTACAAAGTTACCAACCCCAACAAATGTTACCAATTCTACCATCTGTGCAGACAACAGAGTGGAACTATTTTATCGATGTCGGCGGTTTATTAGATCGGCGTATTGGCCTGCGGCGCGCCGCCGTTTTACAATCGACTTGTCTCCTCAGCAACTGTGGCAGTCAACTTCATGTTCAGTCAATCTAAAAAACACAAGTCGGAAGAAACAAGATAATAAACGCTGCAATACAAAAAATAGAGTGTAATATATTGAATATTGATTGTGCTACAACTTAAATAGCAAGCTGATGAAATTCAAATAAAAATTACAAAATCGAAAGCAATATATTGTGTGTGAAAGAAATAAAACATTAAAAAACTAAGAACTGAAAAAGCAAGAAAAGTATAAACTAAACTTGTAAGTTAACAAATACAACAACCACGACTAAACAAAAAAGCCGGTTAGTGTTATATATTGACCATACCCACATATATACAATTTCTATATACCAAAGGGAACCATACACATATATTTACGTGAGTATGTTGAAGCAAGCTTTAAGAAAAGGGAGATTTTCTTTAAAGTTTGAATAAATATTCATATTGGAATCGATGGAAAATTTGTTTTATTAGCGCGGTTTGCGGTATAATTATTTTAAAAATCATTCGGAACTACAACATGTATAGGTCAACAATTTAAAATAAGACAATATATATTTATATAAAAAACTCATTTAAAATGGAATTTCATTAAATAAAGACTTGTTGGAAAACTTTGAAAATCAACAACCACGTGTTGTTGCTATTCTAGAAATTTCTTTTCAAAACATCAAACGAAATTTGCGCTTTTTTATGGTTTAATATTTAAAAAATCTCACTCTGTTTTGGTTTGTAAAGCCATCATACCATCAGCTCTTGCCAAAATATTGTTACGCCCAGTCCCCCAGTTTATTGCGGTTTAAGCAAAAGAGTTCTTGCTTGATTTCTTCTGGCACGTACACCATGACCACCACGTTGTTTGTTTTTACATGATTACAAAATCCATTACCCCCCGCGTATCTCTCTGTTTACACTTTCCTTCCACTCTCTTCTCTATTACTCTCTTTTATCAAATCAGCTGTTGTTGTTATTTAACCTCCCCATTCCACTCAATTGATTAGGCAGAAGATGTAAAATTAAATTACAAAACAGTTTTAGTGAAGTGGAAAAAAACTGTGCCTTTATTGATCATGGTATATATTATTATTATAAGAAATATTTTTTAAATTAATGCTCTAATATTTTTAATTCTAAATAAACAATAAATATACATATGTATATAGTTGTGCAAGTCGTCTAACCACAAGCAGTCTGGAGTCTTTCGTTGTGATCCATAGTAGAAGAATGCAGGTAGTCGCAGCGGTACAGCTGCTAGGAAAATGAACTGTCAAAGCAATTTTCGAAATAAAGATTTTGAATAAAAATCATTAAAATTTTGTAAAAATTGTTGAAAAATTCATATCATAACTACCGCCGATTTGCGTCGTTTAAGAAAACGTATACAAATCTACTTATTTTTGACAAAATATTTTACAAATTTTGACATATCTAACAATATACCTGTTTTCTGTGGGAATATGTACTTCATGTCGTTTAAGTGTGATTATAAATTTGAGTATAAGTTGATTATTTCTTTCACCCATGGACAAAACAAACATTGTTAGGTTTCTTTACCCTGGATAAACAGTACCAGAAGATTTTAATTTACATTTCCCAATAACTTCATCTGATTTCTGTAGAAATATTGGGATGTGAAGAGATGAAATAACTGCAACAAAGTCAAGCACGATAATTTTTAAATTTTATTGAATGAAAGCAAAAAATGTCGGAAATAGCATCAAATTTTATAATAAGTTTACATTTGTTCGAATTGGTCACCCTTGGCACAAATTATGGCCTTCAAACGACCAATGAAACCGTCACACGCTTCCCGCTGCGATATTTTGGCCCGTTCCCGGCGAATCGCTTGATTGAGGTGATCGAAACTTTGGTATTTTTTGTGCCATTCTTGCTTTCCAAAATACTCCAGGCACAATAGTCCAACGGATTGGTATCCGGAGATTTTGGTGGGCATTGTGCGCTGGAAATGAAGCGAGAAACCTCATTTTGCAACCATGCAAAGTGCGATGATGCTAAGTTCTGTTGGAATGTCCAAGGTATGCGGCCAAAATGTTTAGGTGCCCAAGGCTTTAATACACCCTCCAGAGTATTTCGCGATAATATTCGGCATTTATTCTGATGCCACGGTCGATTATTATGAGCGGAGAGCGACCATCGGCTGTTATGGCGGCCCACACCATCACCATGGCCGGCGCTTGAGTTCTGGTGGCCAACGAAGGTGCACATTTTCAGCTGAACTCTTTGGCAAGTAAACACGATAAATTTGTTTGTTTACAAACTGCTGGACAACGAATGTTTTCTCATCGGAGAAAACCAAATTCGGCAGTCCACCACTTTCGGTCAAGCGAAGCAACTCTTTAGCTCCTTTGAGTCTATTTTATTTCTGTTGCGGTGTAAATTCTTGCACTTTTTGGAATTTTAATGGCTTTACCCGAACTCATCTTTCAATATTTGCCGAATGGAATATTGCGATATGTTTAGCTCACGAGCCATTTTTCGGCGGGTTTCGATCAGGTCGCTTCTTTACTTTTCGAGCCATTTCTGCTGATGTTGCTGTTTTCTTCTGTCCACTTCCCTGACGTCGGGCTACGCTACCAGCATCAACGAGCGATGGTACGAGACACAAAAGATTTATTCACATTTAAATGGTAGAGTGCTCTAACGATAGTCACTTGTGGCTTTCCAACCAAATACAAATAAATCACACTATCACACTTGAATTCCATCACGAATAACTTTTTGTCTGGAAAATTCTCACCAAAGTGCTTTTGTACGCTTGTAAACAATATAATGACTTGTGACTGGAATAATTTTAGCAGCTGTCGGACTACGCTACCAGCATCAACGAGCGATGGTACGAGACACAAAAGATTTATTCACATTTAAATGGTAGAGTGCTCTAACGATAGTCACTTGTGGCTTTCCAACCAAATACAAATAAATCACACTATCACACTTGAATTCCATCACGAATAACTTTTTTTCTGGAAAATTCTCACCAAAGTGCTTTTGTACGCTTGTAAACAATATAATGACTTGTCACTGGAATAATTTTAGCAGCTGTCGGACGAGTGGTTTAGAAATGACAGCAGTCTGAATTTGGTTGCAGTTTTTTCATCTCACCCTGTATTCGTCTTTCTATTTATAGTATTTAGATGATTTTTCGATACATTGCAGTACATTGTGGTTACAGGTTGTCTTTGGACATTATTTACATCATGCAAAATGAAACCATATAGACGACTCACATTCGAAGTCGACTCAATGTCCGTACGTCGGCCCATGTATTTTTGTAAATTATGTTACAAATGTAACAAATTTCTAGCTTATAAATTTTGGTGAATATGATTTTGGATATAGCTATAGCTTTAATTTGTATTTTTGGCAGGAATTTTATTTAAGTCCCTCAAAAACTGCAATAATAATTATATTTGCTACAAAATGCCATTTACAGTCAAGTATACCCTAGACAACTTTTGTTAATTTGAAGATGCATTTCCTACATATTAGTTCTATCCGATTTCACATTTACATCACTATAAAGACGTATCACAGAATATGATTCGTAGCTCTCCTTTTTATGCATAGTGGTGTACGGTACCATATAGTCAGCTCTACCTGGTTTATTAATTTATTTTAGTGTTTTTATATAAAGAAAATACAATAATTGTTAATTTTTATAGTACAGTACTTGAGAAACTATTACAGCTTTCTTGCAAAAAATATTTAAATTTTATACGAGATCCAGAAATGCAACAACTTCCTTTTAAAAATTGTCCTTTTCTACCCTCACATCTCAAAGACAATCGAATTTTCTATATTTACCGGCAATATCCATGCACATGGAAATATAGTCCACATATTAATTACCAAAAAATTTTTTTTTTCATTATATTTAAAAAAATCTTGCCATTTATGTATTCTACAAATAAACAACAGCAAAACTATTCAGTACAACATGAAAAAATCATACCACCCTGAAACCTGTAATATTCATAACCACCAAACAGCAGCAGACTCCCCTCTGCCTACCAATTGCAATTGTTTAGAGGTCAAAAAGTCAATAAACTCATTTCACTTGGTTTGTGTGATATACAGTTGCAGTTGTTGGATGCATAGATGAAGGATGGATGGATGGATGGAAGTGGACGGCGGATAGATGTTCTTGCAGTTTTGCCTTGCAAACAGCGGCCGGGCAATGCATTGCACGAAAAACGACAAAAACAAGTTGAAGATACGATATACAATATACCCACATACATCCATGCGCATTCATATATATATGTTTGTAGGTGCCAGTCACCATTGCAAGGCAATGCAGAATAGTTGTTGTTGACAGCAACTACGTCGTCGTCGCTGTTTGTCGCTTTTGGAGAAATATGGGAAAAACAAATTGCATATCATGGAGAGAAAATATAGTCCCAAACACATAAGCTGACGTTGGAGCAATGTTGATGTGGTGGTATAGTTGATATGTGGAGGAAAGCAAGCCAAAAAAAAAAAAACAAACAAACAAAATGTAATGTGAAATCCATCCCTCCCACAGAAAGTCAAGAGGAGGTACGGCAGAAAAAAAAAAAAAAAAACAAGAAAAACAAGGAAAAGTTGTCGGCCGGTAATGATGATGGAGGTTGCAAATAAAAAAAGCAAAACAAAACTCAATCTCGTATGCCTAGATTAGCTTTTCAGCTTTCAGCTGCTTGCTGTTGGTGTATAAAAAATACATACTAATATAAATGCGGTTTCAAGCTAATATTAACTACCTAATATGAATACACATATTATATCTGTGGAATACGGTAATTCATTTTTTGTATTCTAAAAATTAAAGACAAGCTTAAAAAATATTTCTTTATATTTACTCGAGTTTTTTTACTGATATTACAAACAAATCCTCCCAAAATATTTTTATGCAAACCAATGCTTATTTTACTGATATTAAGACTGCGTTGAATACCTAAAAACATCGTTTTGTGATTGAATACTATGAATACATTCTTGAACATGAAACTCAGTTCATACTCAAAGCAATTAGATTTTTGGAAATCAATATATGAATGGTATAAAAAGCGACTGATAACAACAATCGAGAAAGCACATTAATGTGAGTTCCAAGCGTTGATCAAAGGTCGCTACGGTTAACTATCCATCCCTTCAGATATTTAGACAGCAGAAAGGACTTTCTAAAACATTATTATAGTAACAGTAATAGTAACTGACCCAACACCCGGATAAGGACTAAATTTCTTTTCAGTGGCAGCGGGGCTAGAGAATGTTCTACGTACGACACTCACTTCGTATACAAACAATTGGAATTTTGAAAAGCAGTTTAAAAATTATATGTATCGATCTTCTTTGGTTAACAATCGACTGCTCGA